TTAGTGAATCATTTGCTGCGGAAATGGGCCGTGGGCAATTCTGGCAAGTGAACTGTGACTACCGCTAGTTGTCGACGCTCTTAGACTATTACTTAGAATGTTACTGATTGACTCCAGTTTTCAATAAAGTGACCTGTGAAGGGAAGTTAGTTATCGAAAAGCATTTACTGAGTTGGTGCTTGGAATACTTAGAAAAAAAGGAATCGACCGACGTAGATATTCAGTACCGTTTCTATGGTTGACTCCTTTTTCAGTTGTTTTGAACAATTCTGCATTTCCTTGTCGTCATTCAGTCAGATGCTGACGATCTGGCGCTTGTTTCCTCTCCTGCAGGGATTAACAGTTTATTGGTTGTCTGGGCAAAAGCACTTGACAAAATTTTAGCCATTTCGAGAATTGATGTACACTGAGTTTTGTCACTTCATCCCAAACTTTTTCTCTTGTAGACTGTGATGAAATGCCTTACCGACTATGAGATTTGATGACTTATCTGGATAAAACGATTTTTTACGCTGGAATTTGTACAGCTTTTTTAAAATTTTTGCTCAAAAGCGTGGAAAGTTTAGAATGAGGCGATTTCTGGTATTGCGAAGAAGTATGCATTGAAGTGGTCCTGTTCACCGAGTGCTGTGATGTTCTCGTTGCAGTCTGGCAAGGAAATCTCGGCGGCGAGTACTCCGATAGAACTTGAATTTGATGAGCACGATGTAAACTGCTTGTTAGTTTCCAAAACGAGCCACGTGGGCAACAGCGGTTATATCAAATTGCAGTGGTTGTTATCGAAACGCAAGCCGATTGTTTCCGCGGTTCCGTTGGTATTCTTTTGGTTTGAACAGCATTTTATATTGCTGTTTTGATGTCTGTTTGCTCTGGTCAGAGTCTGTCTGTCCAGGCAACCGCCGGCCAAACTCACAGAATTTTAAAACACATATATTTACACATTCTGTTGAGGGACTTATCGGAAGTTTCGCTTTTGGGGATTTGTTGTTGGGACTAGCTACCCTCAAAATAGTTCTAAATGCGCTGCCCGTTTAGGAGGGCGTTGTGAACGGAGCCCTTTTTCAAAAATTCTTCTGGACCGGTAGGGAGTCGAACCATCCTCGTTCATGTCCGGACGCAATGTTTTACCACTACACCAGAAGTTTTTGTGCGCAGGTTCAGCCTGGCAGCACATCTACCGTGTATCTGTCCTTCGAGGCGAGGCACCCAAGATTTCAGTTTCGAAAACCTTCATTTCTCATTTTTTTTTGCACCGTTAGGGAGGGATGTCGCGATTTCTGTTTCAAACTTTCTAAATTAACACAATTGTTAATTTTCTGTTACAGAATGTGCCGTTCAGGACGCTAATCCACGATTTTGCTGTTGACAATGGTTTGGATGAGGAGAAACTGGAATTGGTTTTTGATGACGCAAAGATCGATCTCGAGCAGACTGCTGAAGCAGTAGGGCTAGAAGATAACGACTGCATCGATGTTTATATCAAACAACAGTGATATTATCAAGTACTGTGTGCTTGCATCTCTGGAAGAGCTTACTTCTCTATTTTCTACCTCAAGGTGGTTTTTTTC